ACTCAGTTCTGTTGTCAATCCCCCGGGGTCCCCCCCCCCCAAAAAGGAGCTTGCCCCATGAAGTGACTCTGGATATTGTTTGTTGTCCAATGACTCTTTCGTCTTCCTCACTGCAGGTCAGCTGCTACAGGTGGTGAGAACAGCCAATGGCGCGCAGTATATTATACAACCCCAACAGCAGATGGTCCTACAACAGCAAATGATTCCACAGATGCAGCCCGGAGGGGTACAAGCTCCGGTCATACAGCAGGTGACGCCCCCTTAATCCATGTGCAGTAGGTCTTTGTACATCAATTCCTCCAATAGGGGGTGGCCAGCCCCCCCACATAGGAGTGATGTACAAAGCGGCTTCTGTCCTTCTGGTTGTGAGATGAGATTTGTGATTGTGACAACAAGTAAGGTGGGGTTTGGTCCTCCATTAGGCTTTCTTTGGGGACCCTCTGAGGAGACCTTACCCCTGACATTCGGTGGCTGCTCCCCCTGCATAAAGCACGCTGCGTGACGGTGACTCCTGTATTATGATGTCACCAGACCTGTAGTGGACTTCTATTGCAATATATGGAGAATGCACTGCAAGGAGACGAGGCAGCTACCCTATAGTGGAGGTCTATAGGAATATATAGAGACCACAGTCCAGGGGGGGGAGGCAGCTACCCTATAGTGGAGGTCTATAGGAATATATAGAGACCACAGTCCAGGGGGAGGAGGCAGCTACCCTATAGTGGAGGTCTATAGGAATATATAGAGACCACAGTCCAGGGGGGGGAGGCAGCTACCCTATAGTGGAGGTCTATAGGAATATATAGAGACCACAGTCCAGGGGGGGGAGGCAGCTACCCTATAGTGGAGGTCTATAGGAATATATAGAGACCACAGTCCAGGGGGGGGAGGCAGCTACCCTATAGTGGAGGTCTATAGGAATATATAGAGACCACAGTCCAGGGGGAGGAGGCAGCTACCCTATAGTGGAGGTCTATAGGAATATATAGAGACCACAGTCCAGGGGGAGGAGGCAGCTACCCTATAGTGGAGGTCTATGGGAATATATAGAGACCACAGTCCAGGGGGAGGAGGCAGCTACCCTATAGTGGAGGTCTATGGGAATATATAGAGACCACAGTCCAGGGGGAGGAGGCAGCTACCCTATAGTGGAGGTCTATGGGAATATATAGAGACCACAGTCCAGGGGGAGGAGGCAGCTACCCTATAGTGGAGGTCTATGGGAATATATAGAGACCACAGTCCAGGGGGAGGAGGCAGCTACCCTATAGTGGAGGTCTATGGGAATATATAGAGACCACAGTCCAGGGGGAGGAGGCAGCTACCCTATAGTGGAGGTCTATGGGAATATATAGAGACCACAGTCCAGGGGGAGGAGGCAGCTACCCTATAGTGGAGGTCTATGGGAATATATAGAGACCACAGTCCAGGGGGAGGAGGCAGCTACCCTATAGTGGAGGTCTATGGGAATATATAGAGACCACAGTCCAGGGGGAGGAGGCAGCTACCCTATAGTGGAGGTCTATGGGAATATATAGAGACCACAGTCCAGGGGGAGGAGGCAGCTACCCTATAGTGGAGGTCTATGGGAATATATAGAGACCACAGTCCAGGGGGAGGAGGCAGCTACCCTATAGTGGAGGTCTATGGGAATATATAGAGACCACAGTCCAGGGGGAGGAGGCAGCTACCCTATAGTGGAGGTCTATGGGAATATATAGAGACCACAGTCCAGGGGGAGGAGGCAGCTACCCTATAGTGGAGGTCTATGGGAATATATAGAGACCACAGTCCAGGGGGAGGAGGCAGCTACCCTATAGTGGAGGTCTATGGGAATATATAGAGACCACAGTCCAGGGGGAGGAGGCAGCTACCCTATAGTGGAGGTCTATGGGAATATATAGAGACCACAGTCCAGGGGGAGGAGGCAGCTACCCTATAGTGGAGGTCTATGGGAATATATAGAGACCACAGTCCAGGGGGAGGAGGCAGCTACCCTATAGTGGAGGTCTATGGGAATATATAGAGACCACAGTCCAGGGGGAGGAGGCAGCTACCCTATAGTGGAGGTCTATGGGAATATATAGAGACCACAGTCCAGGGGGAGGAGGCAGCTACCCTATAGTGGAGGTCTATGGGAATATATAGAGACCACAGTCCAGGGGGAGGAGGCAGCTACCCTATAGTGGAGGTCTATGGGAATATATAGAGACCACAGTCCAGGGGGAGGAGGCAGCTACCCTATAGTGGAGGTCTATGGGAATATATAGAGACCACAGTCCAGGGGGAGGAGGCAGCTACCCTATAGTGGAGGTCTATGGGAATATATAGAGACCACAGTCCAGGGGG